GGGCAAAAGACATGAACAGACACTTTTCCAAAGAACACATCCAGATGGCTAATAAACACATGAAAAGATGCTCACGTTACTCATCACAGGGAAATACAAGTCAAAACCACAATGAGATACCACCTCACACCTGTCAGAATGGCTAAAATTAACAACTCAGGAAGAAACAGATGTTGGCAAGCATGCAGAGAAAGGGTAATGCTTTTGCACTGTTGGTGGGAGAGCAAACTGGTAGAGCCACTCTGGAGAACAGTATGTACATTCCTCAAAAAATTAAAGATAGAGCTACCCTATGACCCAGCAATTGCACTACGAGGTATTTATCCAAAGGATACAAAAATGCTGATTTGAAGAGGCACATGCACCCCAATGTTTATAGTACTGCTATCGACAATTGCCAAATTTTGGGAAGAGCCCAAATGTCCTTTGATTGAAGAATGGATAAAGAAGATGTGGTATGTATACATATATGGAATGTTACTCAGCAATAAAAACTAATGAAATGTTGCCATTTGCAACAACATGGATGGCGCTAGAGTATATTACACTAAGCGAAACAAGTCAGTCACAGAAAGACAAATACCATATGATTTCACTCATATGTGGAATTTAAGAGACAAAACAGATGAACATAGGGGAAGGGAATGAAAATAAGATAAAGACAGAGATAGAGGCAAACCATAAGAGACTCTTAAATACAGAGAACAAACTGAGGGTTGCTGGTAGAGTGTTGGGTGGGGGGATGGGCAAAATGGGTGATGGGCGTTAAGGAGGGCACTTGTTGAGATGAGCACTAGGTGTTATATGGAAGTGATGAATCACTTGGTTCTACTCCTCAAACCAATACTATACTTATTTTAACTAACTTGAATTTAAATAAGTAAGTAAGTAAATAAATAAATAAACAAATAAGAATGCTACCAGTTAACAGAGGAGACACCCCCCAGTAAATAGGTGATTCTAACAAAGTATAGGAATCATTTAAAGCTTAGGAGCAGAATGCTGTGGGAAAACAGTCAACAGTCTCTAAATTTGTTTGTCATTGCTGCTATTATATTTGTGGTCTTCTGTTTGTTTGTTTGCTTGTTTGTTTGTTGGGTTCTAGTGAGGCGAGGTGTGGTCAGGGAAGCTGACATCCAAACCAAAACCGCATTGGGGGGGGTGAGGCGCGGGGGGGGGGGGGCGGTGAAAAGAGCCAGAGAAAGGAGAGTGGTGTAGGGAAAAGTAGCCTGAGTCTGAGGTTTGACAAGTGTAAAGAGAAAAGAGAGATCCTGATTCTTTAGGAATTCCAAGTTAATTCAGACTAACCAGAAGACTTAATCTAGCTGGAGGACAGTGAGAGAAGCATAGTAATGAGATTTAAAGTTAGAGAGTTCAACCCTAAAAAGGCCATCTCTCGGCGTTCTTTTGTGTTATTCATTATGCATGTTTTGTGAGGTACGGATTGGCCCAGTGTTGGCCTGGCATTGAAAGGGCCTCCTCTTCAGAGGTCAGGATGGGACAGGGTGGTGGGGAGGGTCCCCTTTTGGTCACTGTTCCCTCAAATGCAGGACTCTTGTGTTGTACCGGTCATCTCTGTTCACCCCCATGGGAAAGGCCTGCAAAGGCACATTAGTCCTAGTCTCTACTTTGAAAAATTAATTAAGACCAAAGTCAGGGTTCCTGCTACCTCTTGCTTCAACCCGTAAAGCTGTGTAAAATCATGTAGTTGAGGGACACCGATTACGAATAAGCCCAATTTCAAACAGTGATCAAGAATCATGGGCTTTGTTCCAATGCAATAGCCACACAGTAATGCTGTGGTTAGTGAAAAGTAATTTTATAGCAAGCCACCTAACAAATGCTTCTCTGTGTGTGACTTTTTAAATAAAAATAGATGTGATCCCTAATCAACCTACAATACTAATTAGTCCCTTCTCAAACCTCGTAAATTGTTTGTCAACCTCCTTTTAGAAAAGGCCAGCTGTTTTGTGGAAAACTCATGAGAAGAGACAAAAATAAATTTACTCCACCATGCCATTTTCATGGGGGCTCCTAGTGAGACAGCAAGCATTTCAGCGATGCATCTAACATAGAATTTTCTTTAGACATATCTGAGGCTCTAATAAGCCAGATCCTGTTGGGGGAGGAAAATAATCCCAAACACAGGAAGGCATTTGCAAAGTGCTTTAACTCCTTCAAGTCTCCTGACCACAAAATAAACAGACTGAACTGAACAGAGGACAAGTGAAATATTCCTAGTTAGAATAGTCATTTTGGAGAAAATCTAAATGTGATTCCAAATGACCCATTTCCATTTAAATAGTTTAGAGGTGATAGAAAACAGCTAATTATACCTGGCAGGGATCCTCATCCTGTTTCCAGCCTGTGTTCTCTTCTGCAATAATTAACCCAACTATCACACAATATCTGAATTTTTGCCTTTCCTCCCTGCTAAGAAATTCTCAGGCATTGCTATCGTGTGGCCATAAAACAGAGAATAAATTCATAAAGGTAATTTCCTATGGGGTTAAGCTTAGTGTTTTTTCACCTTCTAAGGATACTTTCTTAATGCACAATGGCCTTAGTAACAAGATTCAAATACATCAATGACTCACATATTTGTGTTTGTTAAGAAGGGGGGGGTACAGGCAGAGAAATGGAAGATGTTCATTTAATTTTAGAAATATTTTAACTGGAAAGGAGTTCACTGAAGAATCTTCATGTAGTTATATAAAATTACAAAAACATTGGAAACTACCTAAATGTCCAACAATAAGTAAATGGATAAGTCACATATGACAGAGCCACATAATGGACAATCATGCAAATATCAAAACAATTTTTATGAAAAATTTATATAACATGTAACTATATGATCACACTTAGATTCTAATTATTGCTGAGAAAAAAATCTGGAAAAAAAACATATCAAAATGATAACAGTAATAGACTTTGAAAGAAGGACCCGTAATTTTTTTCTCCATATAACAAAGTTTTCACATTTTCCACAGAGGCCATATGCCAGTTTTCTAATATGGAAAATTACACTTTTATAAACAAAACTACATTTTTAAAAATTCACATTTTATAGATCATTTACTAGAACTAAATTTAACAACTATAGTACTTATAACGCTTTACAGTTTACATGACATTTTTACATTCATTCTCTATCATCTATAGCAGTTGAGACCTTAGCACACCATTTATTTCATATCAAGTCAGGCTAACTGTATTTGACTTTTCTTCACAACAGGATATTAAACCTAACAAATGTTTGGGCAGAAATAGGATAATCCACCAACGTAATTTTCTTTATGATTTGTCATAAAATGCATATTATAGATGTAGTAATTTTCAAAAGCTTATAGAAGTTATTATGTTGAAAGTATTTTAAAACCCCCAGACAATATGCTATATTCCCTTACTGATTCCCCCATTACATCTTAAATCTTTATATTCTTTAATGTTTGTTTATTTATTTATTTATTTATTTATTATTTTTTTGAGAGAGAGAGAGAGTGGGGGAGAGGAAAAGAGTGAGGGAGAGAGAGAGAATCCCAAGCAGGCTCCACAATGTCAGCGCAGAGCCTGATGCAGAGCTTGAACTCACAAACTGTGAGATTATGACCTGAGCTGAAATTAAGAGCTTAATTATACCACATTTTAGATCTTTAAACTCTTCCTCGAAGGCAACCCTCAGAACACAACTTCCTATTCCCTACAGTTTTCATTTTCTTGCCTCCAACTTTCTAGAAGGAAAAAAAAAAAAAAAAGAAAGAAACTGAGTATATCAGGCCTAGGCTTCCTCAACATCCCATCCTTACACCCAGGTTCAGCTACATGTTTTGCAGAGCTTAATGCCAAGTGAAAAACAGGACCCCTTATTCTATTTTATTTTTTTAATGTTTATGTACTTTTGAGACAGAAAGAGGGAGCACACAAGCCAGGGAGTGTCAGAGAGAGAAGGGAAAACAGGATCCAAAGTGGGCTCCATACTGATGGCAGACAGCCCAATGCAGGGCTTGAACTCGTGAACCGTGAGCTCATGACCTGAGCTGAAGTCAGATGCGTAACAGACTGAGCCACCCAGGTGCCCTGGGGCCCCTTATTTTAAAAAGCAAGAAAAAAGAAAAAAGTGCAGTTATGGGTACTAAAATATAAAGCTTTATCCATAGTGATATATGAATAAAACATAAACTTTCAAATTGAAAAAAAAACCTTTTGGTTTCATACTTTTATATAATACAATAAATAACAGTATTTTATTAACATGACATCCTAATCACAAGACTATTCTGGCTCACTTTTCTTCAAGTTCATTTATTAGGTTGGCCCACTTTTTACTTTTAACAACTTCATTTTCAATTGATATTAACTGGAAGCAACATCAGTAGCTCTTTTCAAATGCAAGATTGAAAATAATTTTTGATAATTTGTAATTTTGAGAAGGATCTTTCTGCTGAAGCAACTATTATTGGAGCTCTTAAGAGTGTTTTATAGGCTATGACAACATTTGAGATAAATTTCCGATAAATTATTCTGAAGTATAAATTTTAGTACAGCTACATGATGTTCTAAACAACTTTTCTAAAAAGATTTAACTCTTCATACAAATCAGTTTCCTGTCAAGTCTGAATTTAATTATAAATGTAAATTTATACAATGGCAATTTAACAGTCCTTTGCTTGACTGTGTTGAGTAGTTTTCAATACCAGGATTTCTGAACTCTGAAATAGTCTAATAACTCTCTGACATGCATGATTGCAATGCCCATGTGTAAACTTCCATTTTGGTTTTTTTTTTTTTTCCCAATGTTTATTTATTTTTGGGACAGAGAGAGACAGAGCATGAACGGGCGAGGGGCAGAGAGAGAGGGAGACACAGAATCGGAAACAGGCTCCGAGCCATCAGCCCAGAGCCCGACGCGACGCGGGGCTCGAACTCACGGACCGCAAGATCGTGACCTGGCTGAAGTCGGACACTTAACCGACTGCGCCACCCAGGCGCCCCTAAACTTCCATTTTGAATTGACATAATTTTACCAAGTTTGCTGCCTGCACACCAACAGCTCCTGTCCCACTGCTCATGTAAAAAGTTCATATTTGTGTAGATGCTGTGGAGCTGGGGTCCTGGGACAGATGCAAGCCTGCCTCCTACTGCAGGCACGGATGCTGCCTCCATGCCCTCCTCTTTTCCTGGGCTACAGTTGCTTCTGCTGCTACTGCCACAATCACCACCGAATTTGGACCCAGTTCTCAGCCCCAGGCACCCTTCAGTAGTTCTCCAGGTCTGTGTCAGGTATGCCTGTGACTTGTCTGCTGCCTCCCACATCTGTGGGCTTAAACTTGAGTGTTTGCACACGGTCGCCAGGCAGATCTTCTCATGCTTCTTTGTACCACTGAATTTCACATATGACATACAAGTTCAAAGAGAACACTATTAAGAATTTCAAAGTGCTCAAGGCAGAGATTAAATGAAGAACAGGGTTCCTTCTGAGAGTGAGCTCTAGGCAACTGCTCAGGTCACACACCCAGGAAGCTGACCCTGCTAACATTTGCATGTTACTTTATCTGCCCCCAAACTTACTTCCTCTTCTGTAATCCCAGCAGAAGTCTTGCTTCCTGTCCAACTCTTCTTTCTCTTGGTGCAATCCTCTTCCATTCCCTGAACGACTTTGCTCCATTTGTCATCTCCTTTCTCTGCAGTATTTTAAAAGTATCAAATTATTCTTTACTGAGCATGCTCAAATCTCTCCATGTTAAAACAGTTCTGCACCCCTCTCCAAAAACATTCCTCTTTTTCTCCTTCCCTTTGAAGTCAGTTACTGGGAAATTAGAATGAGATCATTGTCTTGGCTTTCAGACTTTTCCCTTTATCTGCTCTCAGACTTCTACACTCACAGCTTCACCAACTTTTGTTCTGATGAAGGCCAGCAAGTGCTTCTTGACTGTCAAATCTAAGGGACTCCTTTTTAGTTTAGTTTAGTTGTTTAGTTTAGTTTAGTTTAGTTTAGTTTAGTTTAATTATTTTTTATTTGAGAGAGAGAGAGAGCACACGAATAGGGGGCAGAGGGAGAGAGACAGAGAGAGAGAGAGAATAAATCCCACGCTGGCTCCATGCTCAGTGCAGCACCTGACGTGGGTGGGGCTCAATCCTATGACCCTGGGATCGACGCTCAATTGACTGAGCCACCCAGGCACCTCTCTAAGGGACTCCTTAATGTTTTTTAAATTTTTTCAGTTTTTACTTAAATTCCAGTTAGTTAACATACAGTGTTATATTACTTTCAGGTGTACAACATAGTGATTCAACAATTCCATACATTACTCAATGTCCATCACAAGTGCACTCTTACTCTTCATCACCTATTTCACCCATCCCCACACTTACCTCCCCTCTTGTAACCATCAACTTGTTCTCTATAGTTAAGAGTCTGTTCCTTGGTTTTCCTCTCTCTCTCTCTCTCTCTCTCTCTCTCTATCTCTCTCTCTTTTTCCCTTTGCTCTTTTGTTTTATATCTTAAATTCCACATTTGGGTGAAATCATGTGGTATTTGTCTTTCCCTGACTGACTTATTTCGCTAAGCGTAATACTTTCTAGCTCCAACCATGTCATTGCAAATGACAAGTAAATCTAGTCATTTTATTGATCCAGCAGCACCACCTGGCACAGGTAATCATGCTTTTCCTTGATGTACTTTCCTCACCTGTAGGACACCAGATAGTCCTTGTTTTTATCCTTCTGAATCCTTTAACTGGTTTCTCCTTTTTCTCTGACTTCTTTACGTTAGAAGGCTTAGTTCTTGGCCATCCTCTCTTCTCTGGACACACTTACTCCCTTGATAGTTTAAGCTAGCTTTGTGGCTTCAAATACCATCTATATGCTGAAAACTCCCAAATGTAGATCTTCATCCCAGGGCCCAGACTCACATATCCAGTTGTTTACTCAGCTTCACTGTGGGATTGTTTAGTAGAGTCCCCAAAGTGGACATGTCCAAAGCCAGATCCCTGATCTCCACCCACATACCCATTAACACACCCCTTCCCTTCCTGCAGTTTTTCTCCTGTCCATTGGTGGCAACTTCATGCTTCTGGTTCCTCAAGCCAAAACTTTGGAGTCATTCCTGATCTTCTCTTTCTTTCCCACCTCCCATCTTCACACACTCCTCGTACATCACTCCCATCAACAATCAGTGTACTTTAAAAATATGTCCAGATTTTGGCCAATTGTCAGTATCTCTACTGTTGTCAGGCTGGTCTCTGCCACCACCATTTCTCCTTTTGTTGCTGTACAAATTTTGTTACTTCTCTGAACTCCTCACAAGCTGCAGTGCCCAACATGTGCTCCATTCCAGCCACACAGGCCTCCTGATATTTGTCCTCCACCAGGCCAGACATGCAAGAACCATAAAATACCTAGGAATAAACCTAACCAAACATATAAGAGATCTGTATGCTGAAAACTATAGAAAACTTATGAAGGAAATTGAAGAGGACACAAAGATATGGAAAAACATTCCATGCTCATGGGTTGGAAGAATAAATATTGTTAAAATGTCAATACTACCCAAAGCAACCTACATATTCAATGCAATCACTATGAAAATTGCACCAGCATTCTTTTCAAAGCTAAACAAACAATCCTAAAATTTGTATGGAGCCACAAAAGACCCTGAATAGCCAAAGTAATATTGAAAAAGAAAACCAAAGTGGGAGGCATCACAATCCCAAACTTTAGCCTCTACTACAAAACTGTAATCATTAAGACAGTATAGTATTGGCTCTAAGGGACTCCTTTAATTCTTGTTATGGACTTAATGTTTGTGTCTTCCCCAAATTCATATGTTTAAGCCCTACCCCTCAATGTGATGTTTTTTAGAGGTGGGGCCTTTTGGAGGTAATTAAGTTAAGATGAGGTCATGAGGTTGGGTCCTCTATGATTGGACTAGTGTTCTTATGAGAAGCAGAGGAGAGACCAGAGCTCACTCATTCACCCTCTCTCTCTCACTCTCCCCCAACCCACCTCAAATATAAGAACACAGCAAGAAGACAGCAAGTAAGTAAAACCATCCTCATCAGGAACTGAATCAGCCAGCACCTTGATCTTGGACTTCCCAGCCTCCAGAACTGTAAGAAATAAAAATCAGTTGTTAAAGACGCCCAGTCTGTGGTATTTTGTTTTAGCAGTCTGGACTGATTAAGACAGTCCTCATCTTACTTCTTAATGATAACTCCCTTTCTTGAAATCCCTCCCTGATTTTTTTTCTTTTTCTCCCTGAATTTCTGAGACACCACCCCCTCTTGTTTCTCATCTACTTCCAACCATTCTGAATGTTCAGGGGCTTCTTTTTCTGTGCACATACTTAATATTATCCTTAGATTATTTTTCTTCTCCCATAGTGTACCATCACTGAGCAATTCACAATGCTCAGACTAGAACAAAGTGCTGTGTTCAAATAACTCCTAAATTCACATCTACTGCCCAAACCTCTCTCCAGAGCTCCTGACCTATAAAACTTACAACGTCCTGAATGTTTTCAGTGAGATGTCCCTGGACCTAGCACCTGGTCCAACAGAAGGTCATCATTTTTCCTCTATACTTGTTGCTCTGGTCTCCTCTCTCAGATGATGGCACCACCATCCAAATACACTCAAGGCAGAAAACTGGGCATGGCCTTTGATTCCCTCCATTCCCCATATTCAATCATATACCAGATCTAAAAGATTCTATATGTTTAAGGTTTCTCAGCTTTGTCTTCCCTTTCTCAATCTCCACAAAACCTACCTTATTTCAGGTCCTTGTCATCTTTCTCCTAGGCTATTCCAAAAGTTCTTCTTTTTGACTGTCTACCCTCCACCCCCTACCCCAGCTATGTCCTGTCTACCTTCTCGTCCCCTTTGCTGTAATAGTGATCTTTGCAACACAAATCAGCTTATGCTCCCTCCTACTTAAGATTTTTCATTGACTCCTCATTGCCTGCAAAATAAGGTCCACACTGCCTAGTAAATAATAGAAGGCCTTTCATAATCTGGCCCCTGTGTATTTTTCCAGGCCTATCTCTTATATCCTTTGCTTTAGCTATGATGAACTACTAGTAGTCCTTCAAAAATGGCTACCAGTCATTTTATTCTTCCCTGGTTTTATTTTCTTTTGCTTAGGAAACTTCTCCTTATCCTCTTACATCCACCATTCTCTTCCACATACTTATGGCTTTGCAAATACTGTGTTGCAGACCAAAAGTGAACAACATATGAAACCACTCAGTTAGCAGCAGTCAGGGGAGACCTAGGGTGGCCTAAGATGGTAAGAAATGGGCACATTTTCTAACACATTGATTGTGAGATGCAAGACAGAGAAAAGTCAAGGATCACTTCAAGGCTTTTGGCCTGAACAACTGGAAAAGTGGAGTTGCCATTAACCATAGACGAAGAAGACAGGGTGGTTTAAGTTTAGCAGAGATGATAAAATGTCAGTTTGGGATATTCTAGATATGAGATGCCAGTTAGACACTCAAGTGGGTATGTTGTGTAGGCAGTTATATACAAGCTTAGAATTCAGAAACAGATCTTGGCCAAAGACAATATTGATCTGGGAGTCATAAGCATACGTGTGGCATTTAATGCCATGAGGCTGAATCAGATGACGAATGGAGTGAATGGAGATAGAAAAGAGAAGTCCAAGGTCTGAGCATTTTGGTATTCAGAAGGGCTAGCCAGTGATATAGAAAAAAAAAATCAGAAAACTCTGATCTCCTGGAAGCCAAGTGAAGAAAAGGATGAAAGAAGATGAAATCTCTGACAGAGTAAAATAAGAACTGAGAATAAATAACTAGACTTTGCAAAATAGAGTTTTAGTGGGGTGGTGGTAAAGTTAGGCCAGGGAGGTTCTAAGAGAAAATGGAAGGAACGATGTGAAATCAGTGATAGAGGTAACTCTTTTAAGAACTTTTTTTTTCTATACAAGAGAGAAAGCATAGTAGTTAATGGAAAATGTGGGATTTTAAAAATGGTGTTGTTTAAGATGGGAGAAATCACAGCATGTATTGTATAATAAAAGAAAAGAAGAGAAAGACAATTTGAGGGAACTGGGGGTGGAGGTGGGGAGAATTGCTAGAGCGCTGTTCCTGAGCAGTGGCAAGGCACATTCAGGGCAAGGGACTGGAAGCAATAGTCAAGGGGATGCGTATGATTGACAAAGGTACCTGAGCCAAATGAGGGAGTTGGAATAGGAGGGCAGTGAAGGATAGATAAAAGAAGGATAGTGAAAAGGTAGGGATGGAGTGGAGGATTGCTGGGATTGGGGTACTAAAGGAAATAAGCTAGAAAGTTGGAAAGTGGTGGTCAGAAAGTGGAGAGTTTGAAATTGAAATTATGGGAGGGTGGCCCTTTCATGTAAATGATAAGGTCTAGGGTATCATGGGAGTAAGTGGAGGAAAAGATAGAGTGCTAGAGGAGAAGATCATTGGAAGAGAAGAGAGCAAGGAACAAGGCCAGAGCAAGGCCAGAGTATTGGAAGAATTATGTACATGGATACTGAAATCATTGCATTTTATGAAAGTTTGGGAAAGTCATAGTGACCCAAGAGCTATAATCTTCTTTAGTAACATCCACTCTCCAACTCTTCAAGGTGACTATTTTACACATTTTCTTTCCTCATTCTTTCAACAGTCTCCCTGCCCTTGTCAGAAGATAGCTTGTTTCTTACTTCGCTAAGAAAGTTAAATCGGGGCGCCTGGGTGGCGCAGTCGGTTAAGCGTCCGACTTCAGCCAGGTCACGATCTCGCGGTCTGTGGGTTTGAGCCCCGTGTCAGGCTCTGGGCTGATGGCTCAGAGCCTGGAGCCTGTTTCCGATTCTGTGTCTCCCTCTCTCTCTGCCCCTCCCCCGTTCATGCTCTGTCTCTCTCTGTCCCAAAAATAAATAAAAAACGTTGAAAAAATTTAAAAAAAAAAAAGAAAGTTAAATCAATCAGAAGAGAACTTCCAAATGCCCTCACCAAACTGTTTTCAACTCACCTGCCTCCATGCTGTGTTCTTTGATTTCCCTTCTGTTGGAAATGGAAGTACAATGTGGGTTCCTACCTAAGGCAACCTCTCCACTTGTTACCAGATCCCATCCCTGTCTCTACTAGACTCCACATTGCCCTACAGTTACCTCTAATTTCTTTGTTCCTCTTTGCAGCAAAACCCAAGGATGGACTTGAATCACTATGTCTTCTTCTCCAACTCCCATCTCTCATGTACTCATTCATATTAGGACTCATCTCTACCACAGCACTGACAATGTTCTGATCCACATTTTAAAATCCAATGGTCAATCCTGAGTCCTTCACAAATTGAATCTCTTAGCTGCATTTGATAGAACCGATCACTTCCAAATTCTTGAAACACTTTCTTCATTTGATGTTGCGACTGGCGCGACAAACACCGAGGTCAGGGTCCTGAGGGTAGGGGAATGCAAGAAAAAAAGAGAGAAGAGAAAGTTTGGGAACAGGAGGTTCCCCTGGGCTGATGGCCCAAGTGATGGCTTTATTGTTGCTGTATACAGTCTTTTATAACCAGACTCTTATGGGTTAGGTCATTCTAAGAATAAACAGGTTTCACATAATCGCTGCCAACCAAAACATTTAGTTCTGTGTTTCTTGTGCATTTTCTAGACGGGTCACAAGACCTTGTTGATAAGATTGCTAGCAAAACACAATTCCCATGTTTGTTTCTATCTGACTCGGGGTAGAAAAAGGGAGGTAGCATTACTGCCAACACCTGCAGACCACAGGCTTCAGGAATTAACTCTCTCAGCCTTGACAAGGCTTTCGTATGCCTTTGAAAGTGGGGGAATGGGAGGGGGAACCACCGGGTTGGCTTGAGTCAACGGGGAACATTGCTCGACCCGGTCTCAGCCTGGCACCGGGGTCCAGCCCCCCACAATTTGACTCCTGAGATATTACACTCTCATGGACTTTTTCCCCAACAGATTCTTTTTTTCCCCCTAGTGCTCCTAGGCACAGTTCTTGGGTTGCTTCTTTTCTCCACCATTCTTATTTCTAAGGTGATCTCATCCAGTCCCAAGACTAAATAGCATCCAAACGTTTATGTCTCCCATATTTATATCCTCAGTCCTGTCCTTTCCTTTAAACTGCCAACTAGATACCTCCACATGGATTCCTAATAGACACACTAAACTTAGCATATCCAAAATTGAACTCTCAATCTCCTATCCCCCAAACGTGATTCTGCTCCAGTGTTCCCTAGCTCAGCAAATGGCATCTCCATTAACCCAGATACTCAAGTTCAAGCCATAGAATCATCCTTGATTCCTTTCTTTCTCTCATACCCCTCTTCCAATCTATCACCAAGCAATGCCAACATCACCCTGGAAATACATCACCTTCACCCTCGCCTCCAGACCAGTGCTATTTAATAGAAATATAGTGGAAGCCACAAGAATAATTCTGAATTTTCTAGTAGTTATATTAAAAAGGGTAAAAAGAGGGGCACCTGGCTGGCTCAGTCGGTACAGCATGCAACTCTTGGTCTTGGGGTCATGAGTTTGAGCCCCACATGGAGTGTAGAGTTCACATAAAAAATTTATTTTAAAAAAAGGGTGAAAAGAATAAAGTGAAATCAGTTTTAATTATATACTTTATCTAACCAAATATATCCAAAATGTTATTATTTCAGTGTGTAATAAACGAAAGTTATGAGATATTACATTGTTTTTCAGCTGTCTTCCTAATCCCATGTGTATTTTACACTTATAGCACCTCCAATCTGAACTAGCCATATTTTTTTAAAGTTTTATTTATTTATTTGGTGAGGGGAGGGGCAGAGAGAGAGAGAGGGAGAGAGAATTTCTGGGGCTCAAACCCATGAACCATGAGATCATGATCTGAACTGAAACCAAGAGTCCAATGCTCAACTGACTGAGCCACCCAGGTGACCCTGGACATTTCAGGTGCTCAGTAGTTACATGTAACATGTGGCTGTCATATGAACAGTGCATCATCTCTTACCTGGACCTCCCACAGCCAGAGTGATCCTTTACAAATATAGGCAAGATCATGTTATTCCCTGCTCAAAATCCTCCAATGATCACACTTAAAGTCCAAATATTTCATCATTGCTTACAAAGCCCTACAGGATCTGACTTCCTTCCCCAACTTTCCCCTCCCCACAGACCCCATTGTCACTCCTTTACCACCCCACTGGCTTCCCAGCTGCTCCTCAAACATAGCAAACATACCCCTCCCCACCAGGAACTTTCAATTGCTATTCCTTCTACTTGGAATTCTTTTCCCTCAGATATCTCATGGTTTATTCCCTCACTTTGTTTAGACTTTTGATCAGACCACTTCAAAAGTGGCCTGCTCTGCCCGCGCTATCTAAAACAGGACCCCTGAGGTGGCTGGGTGGCTCAGTGGGTTAAGCACAGAGCCCAACACGGGGCTTGAACTCACAAATCACGAGATCATGACCTAGGCCAAAGTTGGACGCTTAACCAACTGAGCCACCCAGGTGCCCCTAAAAAAATTTTTTTTAATAAAAAATTAAAAAAAAAAAACAGAAACCCTGCCACTCGGGATTTTGTCCTTGCTTTATGTTTCTTCATAGCATTGACTGTGACAGTCAGCATTACATGACCTTGTGTTATATACTTATTTGTTTCCTTAGTTAAATGCCCACATTAGAATATAATCTCCAGGAAAACGTGGGCTATATTTTATCCACTATATTCTAACTTCTTTATCTGCATTTTAAGTAGGTGCTCAATAAATATTTATTGACTGAATAAATGCATAGAGAAGAAAGACAAAAAGTGGCAGCCCCTGACATTCAGAGCTGGCCTTGACACAGTAGGGCACATTATATTCCCATTAGACATAAACCATCTCAGAGATCAACAACTTCAAGCTTATCCTGAGACCATGATGAAATGAGACAAGTAAGGCCACTTCATAATTTTGTCTAAGAACAGGCAAAACAAAAACAAGGTCAATGTTCTACTCCCAGATGCTTTCTCTCTTGGACAAAATAAGTGACTGCTTCTTTATAAATTTCATTCTCATTTGGGTGTACCCTTCTTGTAACTAAAATTTGACATACCCAATCACAGAACTGTCTTGTTTTCTAACATGAACCAGTTTAGAAGGAAACTCCTTCTCTTATTCCTTAGACCCTTCCCTGAATCACTTAACCAAGGCACAAATCTTGTAATATCTTCTCTCTGAGATACTGTCTACTGAGAGACCCCATGATTCTCCATGATGTGTATTCTCCCTGACTGCAATGAGTAATAAGTCCAACTTACTCAATTCCAGCTGTGTTCCTGGTGGTCTTTTGTAGTGAACATTGACAGAATGAATGAATGAATCAGTCTTTGCATTTGGAGATTATGGATGATCTTTAGTCTCCATACTTTCCTATTTTTTTTTCTGTACTCTCTAATGTTTCTATGAAGAACAAGTATTATTTTGGAATCAGGAAAATTTGATCATATATTTAATTTTAAAATAACAATTAGTATTATATCTCAGAGATATAAATTCTTAATAAATAGGAGAATTCGTTTTAAAGCCAACTCTGATACTTCCTAGCTGAGTAAATTTGGGAAATTTATTTAGCCTTTTTGGATCTCCTGCTAAAAGGCAGGATATATCTTGAGATCCCTTGCGAATCTAAGAGCTTTAATTAAAATTTTTCCAAAGTAACTGAATTTAACTTGACACAGTGATATTCAGGAATGGAGCAGTGAGGTGAGTTTAATATGCAATCATTTGCCAATTTGTTCTACTTTTTGTGTGTTATACTGGACAAATTATCTTAAAACCTTGACTTCTTTATTCTCAGCTATAAATTTTAAGTTGTAACATCTCCCGTTGTATGGAGATTTCTTAGGTATCATTTTGTAAATACATGTGTCAGTTGGAGTATCAGGCATGCGCATCCTCCATTTCTGTGGAACTACTAATGGAAGCCAGTTATGCTACATGTTGGAGACCCAAAATTTCCCTAAACCTTAGAAACTCAGAGTCAGGGCACCTGGTTGGCTCAGAGACCCTTGATCTCAGGGTCATGAGTTTGAGCCCACGTTGGATTTTAAAAATAAAATCTCAAAAAAAAAAAAAAAAAAAAAGAAATACAATTGGAATATTGTCTGATGCACTTAAAAAGATATACATGCCAATATCAGAGGACAGAAGTTTTGGGGTATCAGGAAAATTCTACAAAAGAAGAATAACTGATAATGTAAGGAAGAATAAGGAAAAGCAGATTATGTTGGAGGAGAGCATTCCATAAAAATATACCATTCACAAACATGAAATAGCACCATATATTCAAGGAAATATAAGCAAGTTAGTATTATTTGAGTGGGGTATGAGGAGTGGGGGGAAGGAAGCAGGATGAGAGGAGGCATTAGGAGGTAAGTTTAGAACTCTTAGAGGTGGTATATTCCAAATTTCAGCCTGATGTAGGAATTTCTTCTAGACTCTATATCTGTATCTTCCAATATGGTAGCCACTATGCCCATATGGCTGTTTAAATTTGAGTTATATAATTACTTAAAATAATTCAGTTCCTTGGTCACACTAGTCATATTTCAAGGGCTCTTTGGCCCATGTGGTCTAGTACTACTGTTTTGATAGGACATATCTAGGACATTTGTAATCCTGTACAATGTTCCATTGGATAGCACTGCTCTATAGTGTCCCTAATTGGTGCCTGTTTATCTTCTACTTGAATGGTGGGGAAATAGCTATGTCCTAAGACCATATTCCATTTTTAAATAGGTCTATCTGTTAAAACATAACTTTAAATAATTTAACCCATAATGCACTTCCCTCTGATTTCTGCATAAGAATTCTAGTTCTGTGGATAAATATAATAAATTCACACTTTCTTTCACTTAGTAGCTCTTTGTCTATTTTCAGAGCATTGTCCTGTGTCCTTCTTTTGTTCTCTTCCTCAGGCCAATCCTCCCAAATACCTTCTGTGCTTCCTCGCATGCCTATTTCCAGATTCCTTCTATTCTGGTGGCCCTCCTCCATATTTCTTCTAGATTATGTTTTCCCAAATTGAACTCTTTATCTCAGCTGTGGTTTGATCAGCAGAAAACAGAATTACTACTTTCCTGGGCTCCAAGAACTTTATTTTCACATATGGAACCTAAACCTATTTTGCCTCTTGGGTTTTTTTTAAAGCATCTCTCAATCTATTGTGCATTTTAAGCTCATTGGTTACTAATATCCAGTCCCCACTTTCTATTTAACATACATTCCTGTTGTAGTGTCACTATGCCTATATCAGACAAGTACTTTTTATTTTAAGACCTCTAATTTCTTGTTGTTGATGAAATCTGTTATGTGCTCCAGGGACAAGGAGCAGCAGAAGAGTGAAAAAACTCAGAGGTAAAGACGTAATTAAGAAATATCTCACAATT